TAAAAAAATTTTAAATAAAGAAAAATTTCAAATCTTTCACAAAATGAACAAGACATTATTGTGAATATATGACAAAAAAATTAAACAGATTGGAGATTGAACATTGAGATATACATTTTCAAACTTTAATGATTTAAGGGGGCTAATTATTTATGTTACACCCTAATAAATTAAGGGAAGTCTCACTAAAAATTAACACGTATTTAAAAAATGTTTTAATTAAATTTAATAAAAAGAATTAATATAAAATAATTTTATTCACTAATTTTTAGCATTTTGTTGTATTGAATTTTAAAAATGAAAATGAATCAGAAATTGAACAATTCAAGCAGGAATATGGAAAAAGTTTTGAAATGATTGGATTTAGTGAAACCTTAATAAATGAGATAAGGAATTATAAAGAGAAAGTGTTTAATGGTTTTAATACCCATGATCAAGATATTTACAAGTTGCAGGACCTTATGGAAATTGAGTTTAAAATTTTTGAGGGTAATATAATTATAAAACAAAATTTTGTTACCCCTAATGTCTTGTACGATATTCGTATAGTTAATTTAATTAATAACTAAAGTAAAGCAGCTGGGCTATAGCTATTTCGCTCCTTTAGCTAGTGCAAAAGGTTATTCGGCAGCTGGGAGCAAACCAGCATCTTCAGTGACCGGACTGATGTGTTAGCCATTACACCACGCCGCCTACTGCACAGCCTAAGAAATTAAATAGCTATATGCTTTACAATAAATTTATCATTGAGGATATCCTTAGTTTTCTAAACAATTTCGATAACCGAAAAGACAATTAACGTGAAACTAAGTTTAACAAATTTTAGAAATTTTTGAAAAGAAAGATTTTATTGAAAAGCATAAAAATATGAAATATGAAAGTGCATTTTTTGATGTAATGGACACTGGAGCACTTTTTTTGTTTGATGAGCTAGAAATTAAAAATGTTTTTGCTATTAATAATAATCCTCTCATGCCTTATCAATTTGAATATGTTGGTAAATCAATTCCATATGGAGTGCCAGGTTTTGTCTATTGGAATATTATTTGAATGTTTTGTAGATTAAATTTTGTAATTTTCTGATTAGCGTCCTGGACCATATCCTATTGCATGATTTTGAAATCATTAAAATTCATCTAGCCATTTTGAAACTAAAACTTTAATAAATATAAAACGTTTGACATTATTTTATATAATCTCAATTTTAAGAGTTTTATTCAACAGAAATGGATTATTGGAGGCATTATTATTTCAATGATTATTATACAAAAGGAGTTGGACATAAAATTACAGCTAAATATGACAAGTTAACTGAAATATGCAAAATCATCCACTCAAAGATGGTATTAACTATAACATTCTAATTAATGTGTAAAAATATTAGAGACAAACATGACATATTTTATATAATAGATCGGCGGCCGCTTTATTTTTCAAAGCTCTAACAAAGGGCCCTCTGATGGATACGGCATTTCAACTGCATAAGGCCGCTTTATTTTCCTTACGCTACATAATTATTCATTAAATCTCTTTTACCAAATATATTATTTCTAAACTATTTTTTTCATTTCACTTTTTCTTAGACTATCCAATCATGTTGGAATCAGGGTTGCACGCAATTGAATAAAAAAGATTAAGCAACTCGAAATCCGTAACTTGCATTTTTTTTTAAAAATACGCAAAGCAATCCGCAACTCGTAATCTGCTATTCCCTGCAGCCCTGGTTGTAATCTTCAACTGTCATAACCAGTCACGCTCGCTATTTTTTGAAACTTATCAAACATACTAGTCGCAACATGAATTGAATAGATTAAGATAAGTCAATAAACTATATCTTTGAGCTATTTTTATAAACGGTAACATTTTTTCGTTATGCTTGAACCTGTTTCTTACTCACGAACCTGTTTCTTACTCACAAATTGTCAGTGTCAATCGACTTTTCGAGTTAAAAGTTAAATTATAACAAATATGAGAGAGCCATTTCTCTGTCTGTCGAAGTCAATGAGCATAGTGGAATAGGCTTTTTACATAAAATTTAATTTCTTTGTATTTTTTGTCTGCTTGCTTATTTTACTTTTCATGATACAGTTATCAATCAGCGGCCCTGACTTAACTTTCTAATCGCTAGTATATCTTATCAGATCTTTTTCCCTTCCTTTGCATGTTTGCTATTCGAACTAAACCCTAAATATAATTTGGATTAAACGGAGTCCATATAAAATTAATCGGAGTCCATACGCAAAATATAAAAAACAATCTAGGAGGAAAGAAAAGTGAACGTTGTATCTCCGCTAGCTCATTATTAGAGCAAATGCTTATGTGTAAGCAAAACCAACCGCACAATCGGCGTTGTGCATGAGACACTACATGTTGTCTTGACTTTGCTAAACTATATTCTGATAAATTCTAATTATATCATAATTTTTCTTAGAACAAATTGAATAAAAAATGGGAAAATAAATATTACAATTTCCTCCAAAGTCTAAATAATGATGAGATATTTAATGATATCGATGAAGGACGATTAAAAGACAATATTAGAAACAATGAAAACATTTTGTTCAAATATAAAAAGAATTTAGAGATGCAAATTAGAGAATTTAAAGAAGGAGGAATGCTAAATATTGTGTCAAGTGTGGCAAAGCTTTTTGAAAAAATGTTAAAAATGAGCAAAAAGTATTCTATAGATAAAATTTCTGATCTTTTAATTGAGATAGGAGTATTTAAAACAAAACAATTAAAAACTAAATTAGAAACTACTGATGACCACAACTGGTCCGAATTTTTAGAAGTTATCGAAATTGAAATAAAATTTAACAAAATAACAGACAATGATAGAATTTTGTCAAAATACCACACATTTTTGCAAAACATTTAAAAAATCCAATTGTAGATAAAATGGAAAATGAAATATTTCATTTTAGACTTTATCAATTTTTGGAAATGTTGAAAAAGTTTAAAAACAACGAAAATGAAGATTATATTTTAACAATATTTTTTATATTTTTGGAGAAACTTTATGAAAGGGAAAATGAAACATTAACAATTAGCCAGCTTTATAAAAATATAAAGGCTGTCTTTATCAATAGTGATGAAATGGTTGATTTTCCGTTAGATGAAAGCAAGCCAGACAATTTATATTATGTTGGGGGATTTAATTTGGATATTGAACAAATCAAAAAGGTAGGCTTGAAATTATTTGATCATTTGGCACAGAGGATTAAGACAGATCTCGATAAATCAATGGGGATTGACAATGGATTTAGAATAAACAATGAATATAAGAGGGATATAAGTTAGTTAATGGGAAATTGGGGATAAGGATTATACAAGGACTATAATCCATCTTAATCACGAAATCCCTCCAAATTCGTCAATATCCATCAAAATTAAGCAATATTCTCTCAATCACTCAATATCCTTCAGATACCCTAATATCCTTTTAATCATACCAGATCCACTGATATACATTTTGATCCCCAAATCCATCTATATTCACCTTAATCCACCGAAATTCCTCTTAATCCTCCCAAATTATCAAAACAATCTAACTCTAATCTCCCAATTTCACTGTTAATTCACAAAATATACACCAATATGCAAATAAGCAATAAGTGACGAAATATCAAAAAATGTGCATTAAGAACCGGGTCCCTAAGTGCTTGTCCCAATGTAACAACATCATTTTTAATCATCTCTCGCATATCATATCCGCATCCAAACATGCATTTTCATGTTTTGTAAGGCCCTAATAATTAGACATAAACGATCTGTAATTTATTTAAGCAACAAAAGAGCAAAAAGGATACGCGGACAAAAATTATAATAAGTATAGAAAATTGTCAAAATATTTTCTATGAAGAGGATAGAAAAACAATGAAAGTTTTTAATAAAATTTATCGAAAAACGTTAGAATTGGTTAATTCTAATAGCAAAATTGGGAAATTTGATTTTATTTATGATTGCAAAATTAAAGCAAATATGGAAATTGATGGAATCGAAGACGGTAATTTTGAAAAAATTGAACAAATTAAGAAAATTGAGGAAAATATAAAAATAGACTATGAAAAAGTGTTAAAAAACAAAAATAAAAAAGTAGAGGAAATTGAGAATTTAAAAAATAAACTTACAAAACATCATTCTGAAAGAAATGAGATTGATAATAAAATTGATGAGAATAAATTTACAAAGCAGCTTGCAGTTTATAAATCAAAACTTAAAGATCCTCCTTGTATTGAATATTATCATGATAAAAAATCAAAGCTTGAAGAAAGTATAAGAATAATAGAAGAGAGAATTGAAAATAATCCGAATAAAATAAAGCAAGTCGGATTTTATAAAGATTTAAAACAAAAGATTTCTAATGAAATCAATCAACTCAAAAAAGAAAAACTCGAATTGTCTGAAGCATTAAAACAATCTGGAGGAGAAAGAGAAAAACTTGTTTCATATAATAAATCATTAAATGGCCTTAAACATATAATGGAAAACCAAAAAATTTTAGAAGATAAAATTAAAAAATTAAAAGAAGAAAATAAAAAATACACTGAACAAATAAGTTTGATTGAAAATAATAAAGATGTAATAAACCAAAAGAATAAGGAACTTCTAAAAGAAGAGGATAAAAAAGAAGAAGAAATTGAAACGTTAAAAAATAAAATTATGGGAAACAACAATGAAATACAAGAAATTCAAAATACTAAAAAAATGAAATGCAAGAAATTCAAAATATCAAAAAAAGAAAATAAAAAATACACTCAAGAAATTAACTATTTGATTGAAAATAATAAAGATGTAATAAACCTAACTCATAAAGAAATTCTAAAGGAAGAGGATAAAAAAGAAGAAATTAAAACGTTAAATAATAAAATTACAGAAAATAATAATGAATTACAAGAAATTCAAAATAATTTTCCTCATGTGAATGAATTTCCTTGGAATGAATCGAATTTTCTAAAACAACAGTTTGAGCAAAAGATATATTTAATAGAAAATATAAACGAAATTGAAAAAAAAATTAAGGAAAAAATGAATAATGTTGTAATACTAGAACACGATGTCAAAACAAATAATAAACAAATACTTAAACTTAACGCAGAAATGTCAAAACTTGAGGAATATAAAAAGGAATTGAATGATATTAATACTAAAATAGAAGACCAAGAAATAGTGCAAAATAAAATTAAAGAAATAAATGAAGAACTAGAAAAATACACAGAACCAATGAAGAACGAAGTGGAACAATTTGAAAATCAAAATAGAAAAAATAAAAAAATAATTAAGCAATTGGAAAAGGAGAGGATCAAATATATGAAAGATAATGAACAAGCAAATGGGAAATTGGAGGAACGAATTTTTTATAAAACCTTTAATATTCAGAAATTCTCGGACATGAAAGAAGAATTGGGTAATGTTTTAAATTTAGATTATTTAAAAAAACTGAATAAATAAGAGTAGGTATTCAAAAGGATTGAGGTCTTACGTTAGATTAATGAATTTTAAAATTTGAAAAATTTTAAAATATAAAATTCATCTTCTTTATTTTATTTTGAGTTACGAAAAATTATAAATCTAATTTCAGTGTGAATTCGAAGCAAATACTTTGAATTGCAGAATTATTTGCATTTAAATAATTTAAAAAATTCAACAAATTAAGGATATTTTAAGAGAATTTTTTTGCAATCAACTCCTTGGAGTTCCGGAAAATTGTGCTCCAAGATTTTTCGGAAAATTGGGCTCCAGCGGAAATTTGGGCTCTAAATGATAAAAATGGAAAATTGGGCTCTAAAATTTTAGGCGCGGGGAATTGTGGGCCTCGGAGTGAATTTTTGGGTTTTTTCGAGAAATATCACAAAATTCTCTGGAATAACTATTTTTGTGCTGATACTTAGTGGGTAGGTCGGCATTTCAAAGCTGAAAATCAGTAAAAAGGAATAGGTTTATGTTACTGTTGTAGAACCCAGCGACCGTTTGAGGGGTCTTGCTCACGGGGCTATTTTGAGGATGGGCCGTTTTAAGGCTAGCTCATACAAATCCAGTACGGTATTGACCCCAAAAGCGAAATTTATTTAATAAAAGAGAGTTCCTCCAAAATAGTATAAAATTAAATTCCACAAAAATACATATTTCAGCTAAAGGCACAATAAGGATGTTAATCATAAATTGTAATAGAAATCAAGTAATAGAAGCAATTGCATTCAATGTTGAAATATTTTGTTTGCCTTATAGAGATGATCAAAAATATGTTGCTGAGGGATTGAAGTTGAACTACTTTAAAGTTCAGGAAAAGAAAATGAAAGAAAATGGGCAAAATTATTATAAAAAAGAAGAAAGAAGTTACAAATTTTCGACTGACTTATCTTTCATTGAAAATATGATGGAGGCCAATGACGATAATTATATTGATTATCTCCCACTTTCAACAGATCTATCTTCTGCCACGATACGTGTTAAAAAATATCAAGAAATATTTGAATATGGTATTGAAAAAATTCTAAAAGGAAAGTAAGTAAATATAATTAATATAGATAGGTCCTGTTATACATCTGTTTCGAAAATATGTATCAAAATAGATGTGAAAGTATTCGAATTATCAAAGTTTTGTTATATTTTTATCCATATTTGAAAATTTTTCAAACATATTTTTTAAATATTTGTCCATATTATTGATTTTTTATTCTTATAAAAATCCAACTTAGTGATTATATATGGAAGTGAATTATGGTATACCCATTGGTCATAACAAAAATTAATTTAATATACTTATACATTTTATTACTTCCCTTCAGATATACCGAAACTTTAAATAAAATTCACGATGATTTGATCGAAAAATGGGAGAAAAAGCATCCTACAAATTTAATTCTTGAAGTAATTGAAGAAAAATCAAAAAATGAACTACAAACTGACGAGGAGGTAATACTTCTTTGATATACCATTTCCTCCTTTTATTTGAGTTTCAAAATTAATTTTTTTACCAATCAGAGACACACAGTCCGTATTACCTTGAATATTGTGTTATCTTGTCCATTAATGTTTTAGCTTTTTAAACATTATTAATAATTTTTAAAACTTAATTCCATCAAACATATTCCTTAAAATTCAGAATTATTTGTTTTATTCTCTAAAAATAAACAACTTCATACTTAAAGTTGTTCCCCTTGTTTACTTTGATTACCTAGGAAAAGAAAAATTAATTTTGAAACGCAACTATATGTATGTGAAATTACATATACCTACACATACATAGTCTGTTAACCAAAAAAAATAAAATTATTTTAGAACATCAACTAAAAGGACGGTGAAAAGTTAAAGAATTTGTCTAAAATGATCATAATTCAAGCCTAAAAATTCATAAAAAAAACAAAAAAACATAAAAAATAAAAAAACAAAAAGGTACTGTGCGTTTATATACCCACATGTCCGCAAATGTTTTTTGCAATTTTCCCATTACCTTCTCTTTCCATCTTTCTTTTCATAAAGTTTAAAAATGGTCATAAACAATTTTTGAAAGAAATTAATCATTTATTTATGTCTTTTATTTGAATATGCAACAGGGAAATAAGTGGAATTTATGATGGAATAATCTTATCATTCTGTACGGATTAAGGAAAGAAAAATTAGGTGGGGGGACTTAAATTGTAATCCTTTGCTTCTTTATGAGGAGATGGATTGAAAGAGACGGAAAAGAGCTAATTTACATCAAATATTTGCTGCCATTTGGGTATATAATCGCATAGTACCAACAAAAAATATAGAAACTAAAAATATCAAAAAAATTATATATGTAAGAGTGAGTGTTATTTCTGGGGTTTTTCGATTACTTTACTGTTTGCCTTTGGTAAAAGGCAAAAATTTCATGTTATAGAAGTTTCAAAATTTTTATTAAACCATTCCTTCATCTGTTAAATTGCTGGGTAATTCTGTGATACAGAATCACAATCTTATGAATGACCTCCAATACAAAATATTTTTTAATTATTAAAGATAACATAGTTATATTTTTAATTCTGAAGAAATAGCACTCCATTTTTTCTTTAAACCACATTGTAAAAGAATTATAACCCAAAAATTAAAAAAAAAAACTTTAAAAATACCACAATTTCACTAATTTCCACATATTCATTTGTAAAAATATTTTATATATATTTTTAGTGATTAGACAAATTATCTAAATTTAATTTAATTATTCAAAATTATTTTTTAAAATTAAATTTGAATTAAATTTTGACTAAAACTTTAATATTTTCATAGTCCGATCACTAATATTTTTTGTTAAATTATTTTTAAATGTAGTTTAGCGATAAATGTAAATACAACCAAAAGTTTATTTTGTTTAAGTATACTCCCCCTTTCTCTTTTTCAAAATCAGTAGTCTGTATCTCAGTCCCTGATTGTCGGATCGACTTTTCTGACCCCGCGATCCCGCTGCAATGGATTAAAGCAAATAGTCATAACTTTGCTGACTTAAGTTAAATTTTATTGATTTTAGTGTTATTCGACCTAGCTTGAACAGATCTTTCAATTACTATATATAATTTAGAATGCTCTGTCTGTCTTTCTGTCTGTCTGCAATTTTGCTGTGTTTGGTGTTTTGTTTAGTTTTTAATTAAAAATAGACCCGGCAAAATCGATTTTCCCGAATCCGAATTCCGCATTTGCAACTTGAACCGGTCTGGATTAATCCGGTCCGGTTTTAATGCTTTAAAAATTAACCCCGGATTCCGGCAGAATTTACCCGGATTCCGGACCGGATCCAGGTTTTTTCCGAATTTTTCAATAAGGTTTTTTATTAGTTTTTATGCATTAAAATGTTGTAAGATATGTATTCTTTATGTGTTAAAATGTTTTTAGTGGGGATACAGCAACAGCCTACCCAAAGTTTACCAAAAATACAATTTATTTAATTAACAAATAAATTTAGCGGTCCGATATACTTTCGTATTTTTAATTGATTTATTTTTTCTTTGCTGTTTCTTGTAACAAGCAGCACATAAACTTTGTCCAGGTATTGAATAACGGTACCAACGTGGTGTATGAGTAACATTGCAAATAGAACAAATTCGATCTTGTGTGATTTTCTAAGAAGATTTATTTATTGATTTAAAAATATAGATTTATGAAATATTATTTTTAAAAGTGAGATCAAATGTCGTATAGTTAATACGGTGTTACGAATTTTGTGGATAACAGGTTTACCTGGATATACCATTTTGCCTATTTGGAATTTCTAAAATCATAGATTTTGGAAATTTTTTAAATGCCAATTAATTCTAGATTGCTGAAACAAGCATAAGTAAACTATTTATTTTGTTGTTATAAAATGCTTATTTTTTATAATAATTTTATTAGAATTCTTTTACTGAACATAATTCAGTAATTATTAGTATTTATTTTATTTTACTTTTTAAAAGTGTTAAAATTTAAATGATCTGATGAACCTGGTTAGTTCTAAACCACATTACTTTTGGTCTAAATTTTCCATAATTATATTGTTTATATGAATAACAATCATCGCAAAAATAATGTTCTTTTATGTATTTATGCCAGAATTTACTTTGTGAATTTCTACAATTGAGACAATGTCGCTTGTTTTGTTCATTATTTCTACCTAAATTATTTATGGGTCTACGTTAATTTGTAAGTAGTTAATTAATGAATGAATAAGCTTAAATAAAATTATAATTACTTATTTTGTTTCCAATGTCAATAATTTTGCTTTTTAATTCCTTCGGATATTCAACTTTTTGTTTTTCTAACAATTCAATTTTATATCCAATTAAATTAATTTCCGTCCAATAACTTGACAAGAGTTTCTTATTATAAGCTTCTAAATTTTCTTTTAATAATTCTTTTTTATTTATATTTTCTAAACTTTTTTCTAATATCGAAGCTTCATAATAATTATTATCCATGATAAAATCATTATTTATGCGAATCTTTGATATTAAATTAGTGTATTATTGAAAGCTTAAAATTTCGAACAATCAAATTTAAAATACCTGTTTTCCTAAGTTTTTCAAAAATTTTTTAATAATTTCATTATTGGCTATTTCAATCAAAATTCTCTTATATAATTGAAAGCTAAATTTAGTCTTCCGACTTAGTTTTGTAATAAAAACTTTATTAACAGGATCTATTTCAATTTTAAAAAGGATCCAGTATTCTTATAAAGATAATCAACTATTCTGCTGTTTTGTTTTACATTCATTATCAATACAAAACGTTCCTTTATTTGAATATTTTTTAAATAGATAAATTCTCTTTTTTCTTTCCAATTTTCTTTTATTTTTAATCCAACTTCAACCATTCTACTGGTAATTTGGATATTTAACAGAACAACCAAATATGAGAGAAGAATAATAATAAATTTATTCATCTTAAATTTTAAAATTGAAAATATTTTATAAAATACAAATAAAATTTTAAAATATTTAAAAATACTTATAATA